TAACTCTTTCATCAGTTCTAGGTGCTGTTTTTGATCGATAGTCCGATGTCTTTTTCCCCAACCACCCTAAAATTAAAAATTTTTTCGTTTACAAACGCATATTATACTGCAGATAATGATGTCTCTTGAACATACCTTGTAATGGGACAAGCGCAAGAAATGCAGTTACTCCAATTATTGATGATACACCTATTTCTTGCCACAAAAAATAGGTGACCAAAATAGTTTGCAAGGGCCCGATCCATAAAAATTGTATAAATCTAAACGCTGTGTCGAATCGGTTTACGTCATTTGATATCAAATTTACTACTTGGCCAATTGTAGTTTCACATAGAGAAGCTCTACTTAATTTTAAAGCCTATATTATATATATATATATACATAATTTATATAAATCATCATATTAATGTTTTAGTAATTATACATTTGTTTAACTTTTTAAAATCCAGTTACGCCAAAAAAGCTGTTAAATTAAATTATTCTATATATAAATATGTATATTTTGTCGCAATTTTTTTTTTTTTAGTTACAAAGCAATGTTTTTATGAAAAATTTAATTACATAAAACAAATTTTTCACATTACAGAAATTATTTAAACTATGGATGTCTCCATGACTCCAAATATTCATTCTTATAATTTTCTAATTTTATGCTATTAATACTTTTCTATACACAGCTGTTGATGATTATTAAGCTGGAGCAAAAGACACTATTTTGAAAACTTAATTTTTTTTTTTACTTAGTTAATGAGATTAATGATACCATTTTGATATTAATAGATTTTAGATGCAATTTCATGTTTTAATTGTTTATTAATTTCTGATAAGTGATCTCACCTTTTTATATATTGCTGAACAGCAAGCAACTCGGATCTTCATTCCTAGGTGCAACATTTCCACTTCCGAATAATGATGCAATATTATATTAGCTAACATGTTTAACAACAAACCAAATGCATACATGTATGCGTATTTCAAGTCTTTGATATTTGACCCATCGTGGATGAAATATGTTAACAGCCCTCCAATGAGTAATGGTTGAGTCATTCTATAAACAATTTAAACTCACCTTTCTGATTCGGATATTATAAATAAAAATGATTTATTTAACCACCGTTTATTTTTATTGATATTTATCAATAATTAAAAAAAAAATTCTATTGCTAATGATATATTATAATAATATCAACATTTTTTTATTTATCTTGTGCATATAATTTAATTGGAACCGACTTACTCATTTAACTGCATATTAAAGCGATTTTTTCAAGTATAGTTTTTATAAAATAAATTTTAATTTTATAAACAATGCCAAAGGATCAATTACAATAAAACTTTATTGTATGATTGAAAATTAAACAACAATTTTTATGATTAATTTTTTTTTTTTACCTTAATATCGTTTCATTGAACAGATATACTATTCCATAAAACAAGATTTTTCCACCAAATATTTGCACTATAACTTTTGATAAACTAGGTTTTCTATTTGTACTTTTTGCATCTGAAATCTCGATTTTCCATCTCCTTTTATCGGGAAAATGTAATAAGACATTATATTTATATAAATTTAAAATAGAATAATATGTTGTAAGCTTACTCTTCGAATTTTAATCCTAATAATGAGGATTTGTCATCATCAAGTATAGCGTACATATCATTGCTCTCTAAATCCCTCTTTTGTCCCGTTTTAAAGAGGTTTAAAATCCAGCTAAAATTAAATAATTAGTTTTGAGTCGATATTTTACTTTGAATAATGCTGATAAAAAAGTAAAACACTTTTACAATTTTAGTTTTTTTTTTTTAAATTTTTTATTACTTATAAGTTAGCATTTTAATGTAAGTTATAATTTAAGTGTTAATAAAATATTACCTAAACGTAAGGATTTCGAAGATATTTGCTTTAGCTCGAGGATTTGGTAGTTGTTTTTCTTTATTGCCTGCAGCGTCCATTTTTTACCTAAAACATAATTTGAAATAATAATAAACTCATTTAGGTAATTTAATATGAAATATATAGATAAAAGAAAAAAACAATTGTTCACTGTAAAAACAATTATATTTTGATGATTTTTGGTTGTGCTAATTTTTTTACAATAAAAATAATTTTAATAAATATTTAACCTATTTTTATAAAAAAAATTAAAAATTTACTGGTCATGAATATCGATGTTAAATCATATATGTAGTGTTTACACAAAAAAAAAAAAAAAAAAAAAAATACTAAATTTTATTCATTAACTATTATAATATGTTTATAAAATCTTAATTAAAAATTAAAATTATTTATCTTTGGTCATTAATGAAACAATTAAGTATATCTTTAACGATTTGAAAATAATTTATACTAAATACTTTAAATTTATTTATTATTTTTTCGTATATTTTTAAATCTGTTTAATAAGGTTGAATTTTTTATATTTAATGAACACTTATAAAAAGAATAAATTATTTGTAAGAAATACTTGGAAATATGCACGCATTTTTATGATAATATAGAAAATTCAACGATATGCCATCGCCGTTATTTTATTTTACAAGAATTTATTTTACATTATCTAATTTAATTTTTATCAGGAATTTATTTGTCATACACCCAATATTTTTTTTGATATTTTATAACATAAGTTATCATTTAACACAACTAAAAGTATGTTTGAGTCATTAGTTATTCTTAAATTACTTCTGAAATTATGTCATACTCATAGGCGTAATCTGAGGGGGCAAGGAGGGGCCACTGCCCCCTCTAGAATAAATTAAGAGGGGCAATGCCCCCTCTGATATTTAACATACCTACTATCTAGTTTTAAAATAAGTACAAAACAGCTAGTTATACCTATTACTAAACAGTTTTTTTTATATCTTAATTTTCAATTTTAGCTTATCCTGCTTATCTAATAATGTTAGATAATAAACAATAATTAATTTTATATAATGATATGTAGGTAGTAAAGTGTCGTTTATTTTCGGACACCCGGTCCGTGTTTAGCCTTTAGCGGTGGGTGAGACCACATGTTGTTGACCCTCTACCACAGTGTTATAAAATAACAGTTTTTTGATAATAATCTTTTATGAGATTTCATAACTTCGTAATATTGATCATCTTATACTATTAATTATTATACAACAAAAGGTAATATTAACATATATTTGCCCCCCTAATATATTTCCAAGTTCGCCCATGGTCATACTTGTAGGTTTAGTTCACCCTCTGAACGTTGATTGCGGTTTTAACTATTTTAACTGTTGAAAATGTAGATGGTCATCAATTTTATTTATTTTATCATTATTTTGATGTAGATAGAATTAATTTTAACCATTATGATATTATTTAAGTAGGTCAGGCCTATGAAGCACATGTAGTCGGTAGGTATATCATCAAAAGGTACACGACATTACTTATACTCAATTTTTTCTATTTAAATTATTAATAAATAATAATTTGAAATTATTCTTGAATAGGTTTTGATAACCTATGCGATTTAACTATATATTAGTATATTATTCATATTTGCCACTTTATTTAAATATTGGACATATTATATTTTTAATATTTTATTATAGTTCGAGTGTTCTTAATGATTAACTTTTTTTTTTTTAATTTTAAACTTATTTAATTAAAAATGTTTTTTTGTAATATTTTATTATTAGTATTATGAATTAGAAATTTTTTAATAATTATGTTAATTACAATATCGTAGAAAAATCACAAACGTCTTTACATAGGATTTTGGTGTCATATTGTAAGTTTTAATTGAATATGCGTTATTAAGTTAATGATTTATTTACCTTCCAAATAACTAAAATCTTTTTTTTTAAACCATAATTTTTATGAATTCTCTGTAAATTACTTACACATAAGGAAATTAATAAAGAATCTTAAATAAGAATCTGACGTTCTTAATCAAAAAAACTATCATCCAAATTATACAATAATTGATTCATAATAGGTCTATGGAATTTAAAGTGTATATTTTAATGATGATCAAAATAGTAATATTTCAAATTTATTTCTTTTTTATATATATTATAAGAATTTTGTTTTAGTAAGTTATTTTAAATTTCTCAATCGACAATTATGTAATATTTGTAAATTATTTGCACTTGAAAATGAATTTATTATTCACTATGGTAAAACTTTTAAAAAATTAATTCAAAATTATAAAATTATAGAAAATCATATTTACTACGTACCATATGCCCTGATAAATGTGTAAAGAATATGAACAATTTATGGAGTTTCCTTTATTTTACACTGTTCGATTATTTGTATATTATATCAAGATATTTATAACATAAAACAAATTTATTTATGATGATAAAAAAAAAACTGTCTTAAAGTCAAACATACTGTAATTATTTAAATACATAATTTAAAGTAATTTAAATAAATGTTATTTTTTTTATATAAGAATGTTATTAAGTTATTAATTAAAGTAAAAAAGTATATTTTAAAAACAAAGTTGGAAATACTGTTATACTTGTTATACTAGATGATAAACACTACTAAAGAATTTGTTTATTATCTAATTTTAAAGTAAAAAATTCCTGTGAATAAAAAAATCACAACATTTATAACACCTATAGTTGGTCAGCTAGGTCGCATAGGTTGCAGATAATATGATGTTATAACGGGTGATTGATTTTATGTGTACACTGAATAACATATGATAATATTATATAGATTATTATGTATAATATGAAGTATATATGATTTAAATTTTATAATTTCATTTATTTTGAATTATAGTTTTTAATTATTATGATCAATAATTTTTTAGACATTTCACCATTGTTTGTTTTGTTAAATGGTTTCAAAAAGCTGATACTTAATGTATAAAATCACTAAGATGAGAAATTTGTCAAACGCTAGATTTTTACTAGTATTTAATAAAATAAGCATAACTTACTATATTGTCTATATGTATATGTGTTTTGATGAAATAACAAAATAAAATAAAATTAGAAAACTCTACAAATGACATATTCAATCATTATAGATCATGTTCATTCTATACATTTGATTGAGCACCCAGTATAATCACAGTACATTAAATAATCGCTTTTATTTATATAATAGAGCAATTGATTTATGTGTTTTTTTTAAGACAAATATTATCCATATCATGTTATAATAGTTATAGTTATGCAATTGATTATTGATGATATTATATTATAATGTAATTTAATATAAATATTTTGTTACTTAAAATTATAAGTATACATGAAGTAGCCCCCCCCCCCTCCACCGATATTGAATTAAACTATTTCAGTGTACATTAATTTTTCTACACCAAAATAAGTCATATATTTATTTGAATTATTTAGACACTACCTGGTGCCTTGAATGTCTTTACATATTAATATACTACAATCATTGAACAAATCACAAAAATAAGTAATAATATGTAATATTTATCAGGAAAATACTTTTAAAACATAACAGTTATTATATTGTAATTTTTAGAATATGTTTTTAAATTTTATGAATTTTACAACAATTGTACACTTTGGAATTTGTACAGTGATTATTGTAAACATGCGAATTGTATAACGCAACTTGTACAATCTAGTTACTTTGTACAGCAACATTGTACACTTCGGAATGTGTACAAAAATCACTGTACAAATTGCAAAATGTACAATTCCGGACTTTGTATGTAACATATATAATACAAATCTAAAGGAACAATTAATTAAATTTTTTATAAAAGCTTCATATCTCACTTAGTTTTGAATAAATAAAGTATATTAGGTCATAATAAGCAGACAGTGAAGATAAATTTATTTTGTAAAAACATTATAAATAGAATAAAAATAATTCATAATTAATTTTATAATAATAAAATTACAATTAATATTCTAAAATTGTGAGTATTACCTATGTTCTGTATTTTTTAATAAAATATATTAATTTTAGTTTATCATTTCAACTGCAAGTATTATTTAAAGTTTAATTTGAATAACAACAAATCTGTTTAAGCCGTCTAAATAAATTGTGGAGCAATTTTAAAATATTTTAAACGGTTCGTGTGTTAGATGCATTAATTATTATCTAGAATAAACTGTATACTGCAGTTAATAAACAAACTAAAAAGTAATATATTTGATAAAAATACAGGGTATAAACAATACTATTCCAAGGCTATTAATATGACGCAACAATTATAAAACCCATATTTAATCTATTATCTTCATTTTTATAAGCAGTATCTACATTAAAACACAACAACCGACTAATATACTTTTATTTATTCAACAAGTGAACTCAACAACTTTGCAGTGTATCCTATCAGCCCATACAAAGTATCCGGAATGTGACCACAATTTGTACATTGAGTTTTGTGCGCATTCAGTGTCCCAATGTTGCTAATACAATAAACTTCAAACCCGGCCTGGTCAGAATACTAATGCATGTTATCTTTATGCAAACCAATGCTACAATTAGTGTAAATTCATAATTTAAAGCTGTAACAATAATATATGTTTATTATGACACTAACTCATAACCGTCAATTCCGTAATGTAATAGATAGTTATTATCGAATACATTGACCAATGACAATGACAATATTAACTACCGTTGAGGCGGATAAGGCTGACCGCTGTACGAACTCCTACTTGTGTTCCTGTACCAGGATACCACCATCTATTTCGACTAAACCAAATATATTACAGTAATATAAACCAGCGTGTTTTATTTATTGATAAGACTCCCACGCCTGCATTCTAATACTAACCGGAAGAATATCGCAGAACTTCCTGAACAACTAATATAATAATAAGGTTCCCAACACATTACTGCCAGTGGAGCATAACTAGTTTTACGACAAGAAGGCTTTCTTCATTAGTATTTTGAACATAAACCTACAACCGCTCGCTCCTATATATGAAAACGACAAACCAAAATCGTAATTACACACAAAATAATTTTCTTTTATATTCAAGCTATTCAACCTCTTAAAACACCAATGCGTTATTAATATTTATAACTTTCGCCATCTCTCATAAGAACTGAGTTCAAACCAGACGATAACAGCTTAAGTTTACATTTTATTTTGTGAAGACCTATGAAATATTCTGCGAAACATAGAACGAACTTCGGAGAACAAGCTATAATTTTTAATCAACCGTCAATTCTAAGGGCTAGACTTCGAGCAATATGCATATGACAATATTAACTATTATAACAAACAGCTATTAATGAATTATAATATTTCAATTAACTA